CCTCCTACATAGTTTCATCACCTTAACACATGGGATGGTTGAGACTGAGGGAGACTTGCCTTCTTTCCAAGAAGTAACTTCTTACCACGACAAGCCGATGGTTTGTCTACACAATCCTCCCAGGAACACCTCATTATCTTTGATAAAACATCCATTATGAGTTGATGGCTGACAGCCAAAACATACAAGCATGCATTAGCGCATTCTTCCATTGTCATCTTTATTTTATTTGGAACGTTGTACTGTACACTTTGGTTTGTTTCCTGCTTATAACATCTTTGAAGGAGGGAAAACACTCAGCTTATCAGTCCGATGTTTGAACTCCAACAAGGTCATTGTGCCGCACTTCTCTTTGAAATCTTTCCAACGACATTGATTAAACGTAGGACACAATTACAAATTGTTTTTTTTTGTTGTTTTTTTAGTGCTCTGGATTACATAACATCCCACTCTCATTTTTCAAATTGCATACAGTGTTCTGTAAAAAAGAGACCCATTTCAACGTTTTCGTCACATAAGTTGCATAACCAAGCAGTGGGCTTACTATTGCATGAAACAATGAGAATAATTTTCCTCACTAAGTCGCCGCCCACTTTCCTAAATGTCACAAACAATACAGAAAATGTATTGTTAAACAACTTCCTTTGAAAATATGTACAGCCTTACATACTTTAAACATACCTACTCAGACAGCAGTAAAGTGATAATTACCGTAAATGCAGTGTTTTAATGAAATTTCATGAAAAGCAGTGAGTCGTATGTTGATACTGTCATAAAGCAACGACCCCCAATGTTCTTTTTCCTACCTGATCCATCCAAAAATGAAGCCGTGACCCACGTTTTGGTCCCACACATTTTCAACACCTGTTACTGGCATCTTCTTTAAGCATCGCAGGGAGCCAATACAAGCCGATTTATGGGAGAGAGGCAGGAAAACCCTTGAAATGTCTGCCGACCAATTACAGTGCTTACACCAAATTGGCTCAGCTACTATTGATTGGTCATCGTATAGTGTATGTCTGGATTGGTTATGATTACAATAGTTTGGTCTCTGGAGTGCCTGACCAATCACCAACAAAAAGTGTGATTTCAAACATCCTACTTTATTGGTATTGCACACCTTAGAAAAACATGAGATGATCCGTTATTCTCAGTTGACGTTATAAATCCATCAAGGAACAAAGAAAAAGTGTAAATGTGTGGAGTGGTGTCATTGTTAGCTGAGTAGCTAAAAATTCCAGGGCATATTTATCATATATCAGAACTGAATCACTTTGGATAGCTTATGTTTGCGGTTTTCTCATTCATGATGTTGTGCTTTTGAAGGGCATCTGCTCTTACATATCTGCAAGTACAATGCGCAGCATATTGTATGCGTGTTAACTGCTGTTTCCTGCACAGTGCTGTGGCAGAAAGCTGATAAAAAAAAAGTGTATAAATAAACTTTACATGAGATCTCCAGTGCTGCTCTGCATTGGAGTCTGGCAAAAGAGGCCCCGCTGCCATGCAGTCTTTCTTTGTACTGCTTACGGTCAAAGGCAACTAGAGCCGATCCCTGCTGACTTCAGATGAGAGGTGGCGTACGCCCGGGACTGAAAGGGATATTTGCGTGTGTGTGTGTGTGTGTGTGTGTGTGTGTGTGTGTGTGTGTGTGTGTGTGTGTGTGTAGGTTTATTATTGTTTACAGATGGTGGCAAAGCCCTGCTTATGTCTAAATGAAACACGGCAACTCACTTCAACATAGTTTCTTTACACCGCGATGCCAATAGACAAACCAACAAACAAGACCAACTGTACAAAGAATGTCACACTGGGTGCTTTTCAAGCTAGGCGTGCCACTGCATTGGGTCAACCAGCCATCTCGGGCTTTATTTTCATACACAGGCACAAGTGCACTTGGAGTAAAAAGTTCATTTTCGTGTCAGGGCAAGTCTAGTTTCCTGTGTTTGGAAATTTCACCAACGTAATTTGCATGCGCTGATCTCCTGCATCGACTCCAGCGAGCAGTGGCCGGGCTCAACTTATATCTCAGTGAGAATAGACAAATTAAATTAGTGTCAACTAAAGAGACATTTGAACCGTTTACGAAAAGATTCCATGGGAGCCACAAACTATTGGGAAATCTAAAATCAAGACACATATTATTTTCCTTTTTCTTGTAAATTCTGTAGCAAACAGTTGTTGAACTGGGTCGAAGTGATACGTCAGCCTCTCCGCTATATTGTACGTGGCCTTGATATTAGCCATAAATTCATCAAATATCATACAATTGAGCTAGAATAACATCATGCAATAAAATCATTAATTCTGTATTAATCTGGTGAGTTTTTGCTTGATAATACATCTCCAAGGAGCAAGTAAAAGAGGCATCTTTACAATTTGCTTCACTTTGCCACATCCATTACGGCAGCGACGTCGACGTACTCGAGAAGGCGTCTTTGTATATGCAGTGTAATGGTAATATTTGCTCACACTTGTCGCAAAAGGCGCCATTCAAGATTGGATCGGCAGTGCTACGCAAATAGATGGGACCCATTGGTGAAATGTCAGGATGGAGGCAGGCGGGGACGGAGGATGTTTGTTATATGAATAAGGAAAGGAGGGACGATGACGGAAGGGTGCCCAGGTCGCGGAAGCAGGACAGAGTAGAGAAAAATAGGATAAAGTGCTCATTTTGTTAAATAGTCCATTTACATCCCAGGAAACCTGTATGTTCATCTAAAATATTGGCAACACCAAATACCGTTAAAGTTTTTGTCATGATTCAATTTCTATTATTTCCAGCAGGTGGCAGAGGAAGACCTTCTTTCCAGCTGCGCACCCGTTACACATCATGATTAACGAACTATGTATTTAAGGACGTCCAAGCCGACAACTGACTTTCGGATAATTCGCCTTGCTCAAGCCACTGGACATGTGCCATTTTGTCGACTTTCCAGATTTTGCTCTGTTTTTCTCATTCCTCATTTATTGCTCTCCGTTTTCTTGGAAGTAGCCTTTTTGTTTGGTAAATTGTTCTCGGTTGGCATTTGTCGTGATTTAATTCTCGTCCTCTTGAGACAAGCAATTCCGTCTGTATTTTCCGTGCCTTTTGTGAGCGCTTTTTGTTTCTCTCGTTTTATCCTGGTGTGTTGAGCAGTGTCATTATTTTTACTTCGTCGGTCTTGCGTTTGTTAAAAAAACTCTTTTGTACCATAATCTTATCCTTGTTTACGTTTGTGGGGTCCATCCCTATAATTCCGGAACATTGCAGTTTTCAGTTATAAACGGCTGTCGCTTGCTGCATATAAAGCAAATAGTAAAATAACATCTGTAATTTATGTTGTTTCTCTTGAGAAACCGCTTATATTGTCCCTACGCCCCACTCTTTTTTTTTCCTAGGCGAGCATCACTTGTTATCAAATCTCCACTTACAGCCCAACAAAATGTTAGAGAAAATAGACTACTGTTGATGTTACGTTTCTTATTCTTTTCAGCTATTTGACACACTAAATTAAATAAAGTAAGTAAATTTGTATCAGCTGTTGCATGAACTTTTTACCAATAGCGGGTGCTAACAGACAAATAACTTCATATAGAGGCATCAACGAGAGCTAATCTAACAGCTTGAAAGACGTGCGTTGCTTTCACATGTCAATTATCTGAGGTAGCACCTGGAGGGTCCAAGCAGATTTCCCCAACCCCCCTTTTTCTCTGCCAGTATCAGGGAGCAAGTCCATTATGTTTCTGCCATGTAGCGCCCCACCCAGTGAGGAATTTAAAGGCAATGTGAGGAGCTGCTTCCATTGGCTGTGAATCAACTCAGCTGTGTTCACTCCCACTACAGCGCCACACCCATTTCTAACTGTGCGCAAAGTTTTTACACTGGTTTTGCTTTGCTGGGTGTTTTTTTTCTTATGACATACTGTAAATTGTAACATCCACGATGAGACTCAAGTCTATTTTTGTGACAACAAGCTGTGTAAGAAGCAAAAATAGATACTACACATGTGAAGATTCAAAGCTGTAAGAGTCCAGTTTGTGTCTGAACACTTCAGTCTTGCATCTCCATACAAATTGTCATTTATCGTGTTCTTGTCTTTACATTTTACTATGAACAGTTGCTAGCTTCTTTCGACCTTTGTTAAAAGTGACATGCATCTGATATGATTCTCTTTTGCATTACACCTTTTCTCATGAAACTTGAGGCTGAATAGTTTATTTCCTAATAGCAGTATTAAATTCTTTTTACACATTAATGACAATTCAGAATGCTAACCAGTTGAAAAAAAAACGTGATTCACCTTAACATAACACGTTTGCCATTAGCTATTGTTTTAATGTTTTACAATCAAAAGTGGTTAGCTGCTGACTGAAAGTCTACTTTTACACTCACATTAAAAAGTAACAGGTGTCTCTGTGAGCTATATCACCTTTACATTATGCGTTTAGCAGAACAGACCAACTGTTACAGCTCTATGACGACTACAAATATTGCTGTTAAAGATTGGCTGTATACAGTAAGTAAAGGTTTGATGATCACAAACATTTGACCTCGTGGCAGGTTACTTCCAGTTCCATTATTTTTAAGGAAATGTTTCGTTTTAAGGAAATCAATTTACCAACGTCCTCGCCTATTGAAATTCTGCGGACACCTTGCACTTCAACTCTTTTCTCAGCATGCAAAAGTCACATTAGATTTGCTCCTACGTCCTCCTCCTCATACTTCACTCCACTTCTGCATACACGGGAATATCATCACCTCTGTCCACTGTAAAGAAGATCACGATAACTTAAAGGGAGGTTTCCTGCAAATATTTGCCTTGGCTGCTCTGTTTAGTGCCCCCGAAAGGGGACGATGCATTCCTTCACCCTTTGTGGCCAAGTTATGGTCGGAATGTGGGATGACTCCTTCAATTCTGCTTGACCAACTTGCCCTCCGTGATGATGATGATGATGAGGAGGAGGAGTAGGGGGAAGGAGGAGGAGTGTGAACTACTTCATGCAACTTTCTCCGAATGACGCGCTCCTCCCTGTTCCCACAGAGGAACACGGTTTCCCCATCTCGCTTTGCCCTTCTTTATGTCGTGACATTTTGACAGTGAAAGAAGAAACAAATAACGTTTTTTTGGGGTATGCCAAGTGGTTATAAAAAGTTTTTACGTGACCTTTTTTTTTTTTGTGGTCATCATGAAGACGTCGCCGCTGCGCGTCATCGCCTCTTTGTGGACTTTTCTTCAATTCAGCGCACTCATAAAGGTAAACAGAATTTCTTTAGCTCTTTTATAGTCACGCTAGAGAAAGGTGTCCCTTGCTTGAATCAAGACAGCGCTCACTCAGAAGTGGCTGAGTGCACCTGTTGCACAGCAGCCTGACTTTACTTTACATCAGGTGCAAAGTTTGCGGAGAAATGTCGCAAAAAGATACAATGGCTGCTATGATAGCTTGTACTAATATGAATGGGGCTTTTTAATCTGAAGCAAATTCACGTCAGCGCGTAATGAAGACACTGACCTTTAGTTGTTAAAATGTGAACAATGATTAGCTGTTTAGCACAAGACAAGAACGGAGTGTAATAAGGCTGTCCATAGAAACCCGCTGGACTCAATATGAGCAACATTAGCACAATCCTTTGAAAGTTAAAAATACATTCAAAGCTAAAATTTGCAGAGTTAACAATTCAATTTTTTAAAAAAAACTTATCATAGTGTTATTGTTTCATTACATTTAAATTGTATTTCATATCATTTTTAAGTCAACTTTTTAAATATTCATACAGCTGGTCACATTGACCTATGAAAATTGCTGGTAAGAAATGAACCAGACTGGTAACCGAGAAAGAAAAAAAGAAGATTAAAATGTAATGATAATAATTATGATAAAACAATGAATATGTACATATTAACATACACAGAAAAACATTTCAAATTAGACCACCAGAAGTAGTTGAATCCTCAAACTGTCCTATATTTAAAATAAAATGTAAAACATTCAGAATTTTTTTCAATCCACCAGGTGACTAGAAGGGTTTAATAAAGTTCATACAGTAAATATGGACGTAGATAACAACAATGTATCCCACCTGGCCTAGTGTATACTGTATTGTATATACTGCCCGAAAACTGCTAGGGTAGGTTCCAGCACGCCTGTGAGCCTTGTGAGGATAAGCGGATTAGAAAATGGATGGATGGATGGATAGATGTAAATGTAATATCAGATATATTAATACTGCATTCTAAAAGATATTTAGGTATAAACTGTGTACGACTGCAACTGTGAATCCAATTCATCCCATGGATAGCTGTGGGATACAATAATAACAAATCACTTTTGACTGCTGATAATAATACAACCACGTTTGTTATTGTGGTTTGTAGTGATAACGATCACTGCACTGCCTCAATGTACAGATCAAGAGACATAAACATGTGCACCACTACACAATACAATCACATCAATAAACATATTGTTAAATTAATCTGCCACAATAGAGTATTTGTAAATGCAAGAATATTAACACACTTAAATTGGATACCAGTGGATAATGTAGGTGTACCTGAAGAAGTGTCTGATGAATGGATTAGAGTAGAAACATTTTTGTGGAAATGTAATACTAATAACCTGAACAAACCAGTGATACCAAGTGTAGAGTGAACAGTGTTAAAAATGCATGCCAGTGAAGTGGGATTACATAATTGAGTGTGTGTAGACTGGCCCACCTGTCCTCGCTGCGCTGGTCTTTCCAGATAGAAAAAAGGTGAGAGGGGTTGAGAATGGCATGTGGCCAATACAGATGGGTTAGGATTGGAATGAGAAACAGTTCAATGCCCCTGCCATCCCTGTGGCCAAAACAATCCCTCACACCACAACCAATTTATTATATTAGGTACAGCTACCCCATCTAATGAAGTGAAGTTCTAATTGTTCCCAGTCACATCCTGTGCACCAGTATCTCTCAGTGGGCTGATTTTACATACAGTATGTACGACAGCAGTGACAACAGTGTCCATTGTTTCATACTTGTGGAGGCTCTCAGTCGTACAGGAAAGTTCCATCATAGAAAGGGTTCCGTCAGTCGTCATCTGTACCTGTGGGTAAAAAACAAAAAACAAAAAAGGACGTTTCGCTTCTCTCACAGAAGCTTCGTCAGAGTTGTCTATCGCTGACGAGGATTATGTGAGAGAAGCGAAACGTCCTTTTTTGTTTTTTGTTTTTTACCCACAGGTACAGATGACGACTGACGGAACCCTTTCTATGACCATTGTTTCATAGTAAACGGTGCATTTAGCATTACATAAGAAACCACACTATGGCTGATGTAGTTGTACGGGTGCAATCTAACATTCTGTTCAGTTTTGTGCCTGTTAAAGGTCATACATTCTCACCAGTGAAAAAGTCACGGCTGTGTGCGCTCAGGAAATGCAGAAGTTTGGGCTGAACATTCACAATATGCCAATGAAAGATGTAATTTTTGAATTATTACAACAGACAAAATGATAGAAAGCAACAATAGTCCATTCAATCTTCTGGAAAGAACAAATCATGTTTGTAAGCTATGAAGACCTGTTAGAAATGAAATGCTTAAATTGATAACTTCTTAATTCATGATTTGTTTTAATATGTGTAGTTCCCATGATCTCATAATATACGGTAATATGTTCTCATCATACTTTGTGTTATGTATCCTCAGGGTTATGACACTGTTTTGTACTCCATTAGGTCATGGAAAACCAAAATTATTAGCTATATACAAGAGTAAAACAATTTAACAAGGGCAGTTCATTTAGTCAGATAAAATATGTCCAACAAAGGAAGTTCAGCCTGAAAAAGGGGAAATTTCAAAGTTCCTCATTTTTTTGCATACTGATACAACCCATATGTTTCTTCATCTTTCACAATCAAACAAGAATAGAACAATGTCCTTGAAAGGAGACAATTTGTGATTTTTTTTTTCTCAATTTAAAACAGTTTCCAGTTGCCTAAAGCATGTTTTATCGGAAAACCCCACGGATCAAAATGTGTCGACATATTTTACACAATATTTCTTGCCATGCTAAAATTTGTTTGTTTTTGGTGTGGGTCTGTCTCATGCAGTGAGCAACCCGTCATCTCACTTCATATATCGTTAAGCCGATGGCCAGACTGGTTTTCGTTGAATGGTGGCCAATGGGCTGAAATTTGCCCTGCGAATATACATGCTTTTTACGTTTGGGCATCTCCTCTTTTGCACTGCGACTGTAAAGTTAAATCTTTTTGACCTGAGGCTTTACTTGAAGTGCAACTGTTGCTTCACAGCAAGGAGCTCTTTGGTTAAAAATGAGCATTGCAAGAACAAGGGATGGCTACTAAAGTATATGCTCTAATGTACGAGTCTGAAATCAATCGATTTTTGACATAAAAATATAACCAAAGTGACTTCACGTATCTCGGCATCTCAATTTGAGAGACAATTCATTGGTTTAGTGAGCCTCTACAGTACTAACTCAACAAGTGTTTGGCTATTTTGTGGCCTTTTTTTTCGTTATTCCACCACAGCAGCGTACCACAGGTGGTAAAAAATACAAACGTCATAATGTCTATGGAACTAGAAAAGAGACACTGTGAAATAACACACTTAAATTTCTTTTCATTTTACAGCCGTTAACAGTGGCTGAGCGCTCTCTTTTCCATCAGACTGGGGTCATATCTGGGGTCGAGCTGGGCTGTGACATCACTGCCATCTGATTGGCCAACAGCGATGCAGCTGATTGGCCAACAGCGATGCAGCAAGCAACTCTGCTGCCCACACTCATTTCCTGGTTTTACAAAAGTGAGGCAGAGAAGCCCGCCGGCCGTCGCCAAAGTCATAAAAATACAGTGTATACAATGAACATAGTAGTGTTTTACAACAACGCTGAACCATGTTCACAGTTACAGAAAAGGCTCCGCTGATAGTTCAACTGAGAATTTGCAGTTTTCTGCTATTTACTGTTAATATAATATAGTGAGTGCCGCTGATGGTGTAGTGGTATACTCGCCTTATTCGTGTGCAGGACAGTGTGAATGTTGGTGTGAATGGTTGTTTGTCTCTATGTATGCCCTGCGACTGACTGGTGACCAGTTCAGGGTTATAGTCCGCCTTCCACCCGAAAGCAGCTGGGATAAGCGGCATTCAAAATGGATGGATGGATAGTATTGTTAAGATAAAAGGACTGGGTGAAAGGTCCCAACAGAAAATTTCAGTCTGATGTTTTTTGAAATTGAAACATAAAATTTGTTCTGACATCTTCCTGTCCAGTTGAACCTATTGCGGTTCATGTTGCGCAAACACACCACGTCAGACCGGAACTGAATAAGCACAGTGCTTCCTTGTGTCCCTTCATCTAATCAATTAGTGACCAAGCCTGTGAACCTCTGAGCGGTCAGACGAATTGTTTCATCAAAACAGCATTAGACGTAGCAGGGAATCTGGCCTCCTCATTCCAGGTGGAAAATTTGGTCTTCCATTGACTGGGATGCAGTCCTACTAAACTTGATCAAATGTAGCTAAAACATTGACATGTGTTATCTACAAACTCATGATAACCAACACAACCATGAATCTACGATGACATAAATTAAAAAGCACTCAGCCTGTTGGGTGTTCAATTAAGTGCTTCAAAAGTCAATATGGAATAGGGCAGGCGTGCGTGTGAACTCACTTGATCCTCACGCTCAAATGACTCAGGAAAAGTACAACACTTTGCATGAGTTTATCATGGTATGGAGTGAATGGCCATGCCTTTATATGGTTACATTCTCTCTCTGACGGGCCCACTCACTGTACGAGAAATGAAAAGGTGGTGACACTGCTATCAGTGGGAAACATCTTGGAACAAGGAAATGGGACGTTTGGTATTTTCACAAGAAGTGGCTGGCAGTGAGTATGACCACAGTGTGATTGACACTCTTCTGAGTCTACTCACATGACTGAATAATGTGCACAGCGGAATAATAAAACAATAAAACACACGTCTCGGCAGAATGCATTTGTGTAACTGCATCTAAATGATGAAAATGCGTCACATAAGTCACAAATCAAGTCTTTCTCTGTGGAATGCCACGACCTCCACCCACTCACTAAACGCTCGGGACTGGATGAGGATGGTCCAGTTTTAAAGAAATATAGTTGCCTAGAACCAGTGTGGCGACTCGAGGCTGTGCATGTACAAGATGAACTACAAAGAGTCACAGTTCCCCCAGTGCATGGAAATGAGACACAGGCTCCACCCTGGACCTCA